CCTCCTCCCTCCTCTTCTCACTCACTCCCCTCTTCACTCCTCTCCTCCTCCTCTCCTGCCTCCTCTCCTCCTCCTCCTCACTCTCCTCTCCTCCACTTTTCCTCCTCCTCTCCTCTCCTCCTCCTTCCTCCTCCATCCCTCCTCCTCCTCTCCATCCCTGCCTCCTCACTCCTCTCTTCATCTCCTCTCTTACTCTCTGCTTCTCTCTCCTCACTCTCCTGCCTCCTCTCCTCCTCCTCCTCTCCTTCTCACTCCTCCTCCTCCTCATCCTCCTCCTTCCTCCTCCTTCCTCCTCCACTCCTTCCTCCTCACTCCTCACTTTCTCACTCCTCCTCTCACTCCTCACTTCTACCTCCTCCTCCTCCTCCTCCTCCTCCTCCTCCTCCTCCTCCTCCTCCTCCTCCTCCTCCTTCTCCCCCTCCCTCCCCCCCTTCTCCTGCGGCAGTGGTGATGGAAAATCGGCCCATCACCAGCGGCCGTGTTCGGCGTGGCCATGTGAGGGCCGCCCTGCGACCGGCAGGGTAACTCGGGAGGGGGGGGGGGTCAGGGGCAGCGATGGGGGACGAAGTTTCGAGGTCCGAGGTGCGAGGTCTGCCGCCGTTTGCGTAGGCTGCTCCCCAGCAGCCGCGCCTCACCGAGAGTGTGCCTGGGGTGCCGCATCGTTCCGAGCGGCGGCCGGACAGCCGAGGTATGACCCGAACGTTAGAAGGGGGGCAACGTGAGGGGAGGGCCGCTTTCTGCTCCTATTCCTCCTCCTCATCCACCTCCTCCTCGTCCTCAGACTCTCGAGATGGTGTTCGCCACCAACAACTACGCCTGGGGGGAACGCATCGACCCCCACTGGTCCATTCATTCGGCGTCACCCCAAATACTAAGACTATGTGTTCGTCGCCCCCCCCCCCAGCTGGCGACGCGCGCACCGAGAAAGCTTCTAGTACACGCATCGTGGCGGGCGCTTCTGGCCACATCACTCGGGGAACGATATACTACGAGATGGGTATACTATATGTTCGGGTCGGACGCGCGCCTCCAAGGAAGGTATACAGTGTCAGTATGTCTCTGTGCGTCCCACTCCTCGCCGATCGGGGGCCCGATGGCCCCAGCCTGCCCAGGACCATGCGGATTCGCTCTTTGGGGCTGTCGCCGCCCCCTCGACGAGGCATCGCCGATTCCAGGTCCACGTTGCCCCCCCCCCGTGCAGGCCCCCCCCAATCGTTTCGGGGGTGGACAGACCTCCTACCCGGACATGTCGATTGAGGAACTGGCCGTTTTCGGTTCGCGAGGGGGCGTCGCGGCCGTCATTCTTGCGGGTCCAGGTCCGTCGGTTTCGGTCCCAGGCGCTTTTCACTAAGGGGAGGTCTACTAAAGGGAGGTTTGTCCACCGCCAATCGTTGCCCCTCTCTCCCCTGAGATTCAACGGCGCGAAGCACTGAGGCACCGCAAAAGATCACCACCCGCGCCCCAGACCCCGTCTTCCCGCGCCGTTCTTCCAGCGGGTCAGTCTGTGAGGGCCGCCTGGGTCCGAAACCTGACGGACACGCGCCCGGATGGTGATCGATTTTTGTTATTCATTGTTTTGCCGATCAGCGCGGGCCCTGGAAACGACAGGGCCGTTTTTTTACCGATTCCGTTTTGCCGTTTTTTTGCCGGTTCCGACGCTGTCGTTTTACCGGTTCCGTCGCCGTTTTTTGACCGGTTCCGGCTCCGGTTCCAATCCTGGAGCCGTTTTTTTTGCCGTTTCCGGTCGCCGTTTTTTTGCCGTTTCCATTTTCAAGGGACTTGTTTTTGGAAACGGTGAAAAAACGGCCCTGCCGTTTCCGGGGCCCACAAAGGCGCGGGCCCTCGCACCCCTCCCCTCCCCCCCCATGGAATGGATCTTGGCTGCTTTTTGGCACCTATTTCTGGCAGGTGGAGCCTCCCCCAAGATGGACGCACTGCCGCAAACAGCCGCATGAAGCAGAGGTCCAGAGCCAGGACCCCCCCTCTGCCCCCCCCCCCTTCCGCCCAATGTCGAAACGCCGACTAACAACAAAACGCTCACCTGCGACAATTCGAGATGCCAGGATCTCAGGTCATGATGTTCCAACCTACCTCGATCACCAGAAAGAATTTCGAGCACCAGAAAAGTACCCAAACAACTCGAGGGCTTTCACGTGACGGGCCCTGGGAGGCACTCGCCCGGCACTGCTTCGACACTGCCTCGGCGCTTTTCCGGGGGCTCGAAGGTACTTCTGGGAGGTGGTCCTTAAGTACGACGGGAGCAACTCGGGCCGGGCGAAAGGGGGGGATTGGGAAAGGGGGGGGTACGAAATTTGCTGCATGCAGCTGGTTTCGGCCTCACCGAGGGGCCCGTTCCTCGATACATAGCCGCCTCCGGCGCCGGGAGGCGCCGGGAAAATCAGCTACGTGAGCTGATTCTCAAACCCCCCTTTGCTCTCCCCCCCTTTCGCCCGACCCGAGCAACGTAGGTCTCAGGGCCTGTAGCCCTCTCTCGCTCTGGTCGCTGCCCCGACCCCCGCCCCCCTTTTGTCGGCTGCGCGTGCGCGCGCGTGCGCTGTCGCTCTCTCGGCGTCTTGCACCTCCCGTGGTGCTCCGCGAGGAGCGACACGGGGGCACGGCGCGGCGTGGTAGGTCGGGCACGTCCCCCTGCAGGCAGATGCTGGAGGAAACATCGAGCATACTCAAAATATACTCCCAACATAGTGTACAAGACAAGTCGTCCCCGGACGATTGTTTTACTGCTTTTGGATGCGCCCCCTGCAGAGGTACACGCCCGACTGAAGCGTTGTGTGAGCGACGTGGGGGAAGCGGGTTCGACTGTTGTGTGTTTTCTCGGCGACGGGGTGCTCAGCTTCCCTTCGCCCGGTTTCCCCTTTTTGGGGTTTCCTGGGAGGCCCCCGTTGCCACCGCTGGACTCGCCTCGAAATCCTGGTCAGAACGCGCCCCGAGAGAGGTCTGGGGAGTAGCGGTGTCAGCACTTTTTGGTTTCCGCAGATGTTCAGCCACGCGCAGAGGGGGAGCAGGGGGAGGGGGTGAAGGCTTCTCAGAAGCAGTCTCCTCTTCCCCCTTGTGCGCCCTGCCAAGATACCACGACGTGGTTGGGTGTTGCTGGAGACCTAACGTTGTGGAACAATTGGGGGAAGGATAACCACGCACACACGAACATTTGACCGGGCTCCAGCCCGCCCGCGCCGCTCCTAAGGAGCCCGCTTGCAAGCAGACACGCGGGTGTCGTTTCGTCTCGTCTCGTCTTATCGAGGATCGGTTTGGATCAGCTTGCGGAAGGAATAAACACGAAACCGAGACATGCTCAGGGAATGGACGTCCGAGCGATGGCAAGGAGTCAATTGCGCCTTCGAGTGTAAGCTGCCCGCGTAATGTTGCGCACATGCGCCCCCCTCAGACCCATCCGAGTCATTGAAAATCACGACGGAAGGTTTTCTGCTATTTCTGGTCTTTGGGGGCCCTTACCAGGCCTCGGAATTATCAAACAATGAATTATACAGGATGAGAAACTGGTCCCATGGATTGGGTCCAGACCTGTGGGAGCCCGCGTTAATTATCAATTCGCCTAGCGAAGGACCCAACCATATGCAGTTGTGAGCACCCTCGTTGTATGCACCGCATTCGGATGAGCTTCTTATAGGGCCACGAAACTTGCGAGGGGTGTGCCAAAACGGTGGGCGCATGCGAAAGCAGCCATTTGGGCCGTGGGTGGAATTTATGGGGCCACGAAGCGCGTGTGAGGTGTGCCGAAATTGGTGCTGTGGGCGCATGCGAACGCAGCCACTGGGGCCGTGCCGAAATGAGTGCGGTGGGCGCATGCGAACGCAGCCACTGGCGCCTTCGGTGGAGCTCCCTATGTGGCCACGGAAAATGTTAGAGGTGCGCCGAAATTGGTGTGGGTAACGCATGCGGGCGGTGGCACTTGGGCTTTCGGTGGAGCTCCTGATGGGGCCACGAAGCGTGTAAGGGGTGTGCCGAAATGGGTGTGGGTAACGCATGCGGGCGACGGCACTGGGGCCTTCGGTGGAGCTCCCTATAGGGCCACGAAACGTGTGAGGGGTGTGACGAAATGGGTGTGGGTAACGCATGCGGGCGGTGGCACTGGGGCCTGCGTTGGAGCCCATTATGGGGCCACGAAGCGCGTGAGGGGTGCGCCGAAATGGGCATGGGTAGCGCATGCGGGCGGTGGCACTGGGGCTTTCGGTGGAGCCCCTTACGGGGCCATGAAGCGTGTGAGGGGTGTGCCGAAATGGGTGTGGGTAACGCATGCGGGCGGTGGCACTGGGGCCTTCGGTGGAGCTCCCTATAGGGCCACGAAACGTTGTAGTGGGTGTGCCGAAATGGGTGTGGGTCACGCATGCGGGCGGTGGCACTGGGGCCTTCGGTGGAGCTACTTATGGGGCCACGAAGCGTGTAAGGGGTGTGCCGAAATGGGTGTGGGTAACGCATGCGGACGGTGGCACTGGGGCCTTCGGTGGAGCTTATTATGGGGCCACGAAGCGCGTGAGGGGTGTGCCGAAATGGGTGTGGGTAACGCATGCGGGCGGTGGCACTGGGGCCTTCGGTGGAGCTCCCTATGGGGCCACGAAGCGCTGCACTGGGTGGGTGAACTGCATGGACGAAGGAGGAGGGGGGGGAGGGGGAGGAGGAGGGAGGAGGAGGAGGAAGGAAGGAAGGAAGGAATGAGGAACGCGGGGGCCGTCTCTTCAAAACGAGGACCCAACACCACAGGATGGTTGGGAAAAAACCTGACGTCGGGAGTTTGCTAAGCGCCTTGTTTTCCAGTGCTCGCTGTTTCATCTCGCGCAAGAGTTGTTCCTTTCCGTCGCTCATGTGGCAACGCAATTCTTGCATATGCCTCGTCCAACTGCGCTTTCGCGCGCATCTACCACCGTGCAGAGAGCGACAATGTCACATGTGTTTTTGCATCCGGCTGCTTCTCTGCGCGCGCCCGGCCCGCCTGAACCGAGCTTGAGAGCCTACGGATCCGAGGAATGGAGATTCGCGCGGCGTCCCTGCGGTCGTTGGTCTCGCATTCTTCAGACTCACCCCAGACATCGGCGTCACCCCAACATACTAATACTACGTGCGCGTCGCCCCCTCAGGGGCGACGCGCGCGCCGAGAAATCTTTTGTTTATGCGTCGTGGCGGGCGCATTCTGGCTGTAACGTCCGGAAAACGATATTCTACTAGATGGTCACATCAGATGCTCGGGTCGGATGCACGCCTCCGAGGAGGATACACAGTACTAGTATGTCCTGGTGCGTCCAAAGACATGCTCGCGTCGTGAAAGGAGGTCGGTGGGAGTTTGTTACGGTTTTCGGCCTCCTTGGCCCTGGGACGGTCAACATATCGACTCGGGACGAGCAGCCGGCCCTGGGGAATGCGTCAAGACATCCGGGGGCCCCTTGGGGATGAAAAAAAGCGAGGCACTGCATGTCTCGGTTCTGATTCATTGTTCAGATCGGTCGGCGCGGGCCCTCGCACCCCCTCCCCCCCCCGTAAGGGTGAGATTTAAGAGTATTTGACGTGGGGTTTTTCTCATCATCGTTGTCATCATCAGCATCACCATCAGCATCACCATCATCATCCTTTTCCTTTTCCTCCGCATGTTCCTTCTCGTCTTCAGCCTCCGCCTCCTCATCTCCCCTTTCCTCCGCGCAGTCAAAACCATGAGACATCGGTACAATCGAAAGCAGTAGCAAACCCATATATTCAAAACAAGAAGACACCCATGTGCTCATCAACAATGCGAACGCCGTACAATGAAAAACGATAATAACCCCATGCAACCAAAAACAACAAGAAAACACTTCCGTCAACCACAACAAGAAGTCCGTACACTCACAAACAACAAGGAATCCATCCATTTCAAAGCAATATGATTTCTTTATCATCAAGCATATAGGTACATTATGATGATCGGTCAAGAATTTCATGCAATCAGGTACATTCACGAATCCATACTCTAAAACACAAAATAAACTAGCACAATCGAACACAGTCAGAAATCCATAAACTCACACACACACACACTATACGAAACTTATACCATCGACAGCAATAAGACATCACTTCCATGAAAACAAAGCAATCCGCACATTCAAACACAGTTTGCAATACATACAACCAAAGACAATAATAAACCCATTCCATCAAGACAATAAGAATTCAATACCATCGCGAACAATCCCAAGTATGTACAATCAAAAAACACAAACAAATGCATACAAACATAACATAACATAACCCGAACAAACAACAACAATCAGACATCCATAACATCAGAAACGACCAGAAATCCATACAATCAAACACCATAAGAATTCTATACCACAAAACAATAATGTCAGCTTGTGATCAACACAGAAGGCCGCCCCCCCGGGGTTGATGAACAGACCCCGCGGGGCGCGAATATATATATATATATATATATATAATCACATGCGCCAGGGGGTCGTCGTTGGCGCCGCCGAGGGGATCTTGCACCTACTCCCTTGCATGACAGCCTCAACGCGATTGCCTTTCGTATAGAAGTTGTTACCAAGGTCGTAGACACCCGAGGCGGATTTTCGTTCCCCCTCTCAGGCGTCGTCGCCGTCGCCGCCGCCGTCGTCGTCGTCTTCGTCGTCGACTACAGCGGGCCTGCGCAGCAGCACCCCCCCCCCCCCACATTGGGCATCCGCAGTGCGTCGTCGTCGTCGCCGCCGTCGCCGTCTGCCGTCCGCCGCCCGCCGTCCTCGTCATCGTCCCGTCGTCGTCGTCGTCGGCGACGAAGAGAGCGGCCGTTGGAAACGGGCGCAGGCAGGGCGGGGGACGGCGGCGACGACGGCGACAGAAGGGGGGGAGGAGGACTACCCGCCTCGCTCGTTTCGGATGAAAGGGTGGGGGGGGAAAGGGGGGGTGCAAAGCCTGCTGCGCACAGCTGGCTTCGGTCGCCCCGGCGAAGGGCCAGTTCCCTCGACGCATGGCCGCTTTCGGCGCCAGGAGGCGTTTTGAAAATCGGCGACGTGAGCTGCTTGGCAAATCCCCCCTGTGCTGCGCCCAGCTTTCGTGCAGCCCGCCTTGCCCGCAGGCCCGCATCGGTTCGACAGACAAAGGGGCGCCCTGGCTCGCCCTTGCTTTCCAACCCCCCACTTACCCTTCGTTTGCGGCCGGGCGTCGGCGCTAATCACCGGCGCCGCCCCGTTGATTTTCAATCTTGTGGGCGCCACCCCAAGATTCGCCCGAGCAGGGTAACTATTTGTTGAGAAAATGCGTTTCACGGGCGGTTGCCTTGGGAACGTTCGGCGGCGCGTTTCAAACCAACGGTGGCCCCCCCCACCACTCGGCGCCGTCGATCAACCAAGTGGATTCCCCTCCCCCCAACCCCCCCCCCCCCTCCCGACCCCCTGCCCCCTTTCCCAAGGGGGTGGGGAGGTTTCAATCCCCCCCCCTGGACGCTGGCGCCGGCACTGGCGGCCGCCAGCAGCGCCCACGGCGGGGATCCACCGACGATGACCAGAGGCAACCCGGGGGTGGGGGAGCCAGCGCCGGCGCTGGCGGGCGCCGGCGACGGCGGGGACGCAGTGACGATGACCACCACTACCACCACCACCGCCACTACCACCACCACCACCACCACCGCCTGAACCCACCACCGCCACCACCACAAACAGCACTACACAACCAACACCACCACCACAACCACAACCACAACCACAACCACCACCGCAACTCACCATCACCGCCACAGCCACACCACAAAAACCCACCCCCACTACCACCACCGCTGCCACCGCAATCTACCACGCCACCACCACCGCCACAACCACTACCACTACCAGCAGCATGACCCACCGTCACCACCACAATCCACCACCACCACCACCGCCACCTCCACCACCACCACATCAAACGTCCACAAACCACCGCCATCACCACAACCCACCACCACCACAAACCACCACCACACCACCACAACCACCACCACCGCAACTCACCATCACCACCACCACAGAAACCCACCACCACTACCACCACAACCACAAACTACCACACCACCACAACCACCGCCACAACCACTTCCACTACCAGCCGCGCGACCCACCACCACCACCACCACACCACCACCACCACCGCCACCACCACCACCACCACAAGCACCACCTCCACGAACCACTGCCACAACCACAACCCACCACCACCACCACCACAACCTACCACCACAGTTCCACCAAACCACCACCACCACAACCCACCACCACCACCACAAACCGACACCACACCACCACCACCACCCACCACCACCACCACCACCACCACCACCACCACCCCACAACCACCACCACCACAACGAACCGCCACACCACCACCACCACAACCACCGCCACCACCACCACCACCACCACCACAACCCACCATCACCACCACCACCGTCGTCCTCGTCGACGCTTCCCGCCGCCCGCCGCCGCAGGTGCTGGCGCTGGCCAAGAAATTGAAGTCGTCGTCCCCGCCGCCGTCGCCAGCCGCCGCCGACCCAAGCGCAGCGCCGGCGTGAGGAGAGGGGAAGCAGGAGGGGGGGGGTCGAACCCCGCCCTTTCCGTCACGGAAGGGGGGAGGGTTTTCGACCCCCCCCCCCCTTCATCCAGGGGGGGGGGTCCGGTTCCAATCCCCCCCCCCAAGCGACCACATAACGCGCTTTATATGAAGCTGACATTACGAAACCACTACATGCAAAACTAGGAAAAGTTATATTTTCAGAAACAATACGAAACCCACACGTTAAAAGACAATCAGAAATCCATACAATCAAACACACTAGTAAGCCCATATAATCAAAAACGACAAGGAAACAATAGCATTAAAAACAGCACTGAACCCGCACAATCAAAACAAAACAACTATACATTCGAAAACATTCAGACACCCATACAATCAAAACCAGTACTGCGCAAGCAGAAACAAGCAGGAAACGTTTTGGGTCCACGGACCCTGTCAGGGCACCAAGAGAACGAAAACCAGCAAAACATTTTGTGAGGCACCCCCAAAGAGCAACATTCAATGGGTTTCTTGTCTTCGGACTTCTCCCGGGCCCCCCTAGCCCAGATCCGCCAGGGCAGCCTGAAAGCACGAACCAAATGATGTGCGTTGTTCCCCATATCCGAAGTGCGTTTTTGTTTTCCCTGGATATCACGCGCAGGAACAGGAACGCCCCCTCCCTTTTCCAGGCACACACAGTCACATCATCATCATCATCATCATCATCATCATCACAACATCATCACCACTTACACACTCGCACAGATTCTCGCTCTCCAATTCACTCATACACCCACAACTACTATTCATCACTCGTCATTCTCATCATCATCATCATCACCATCACCATCACCATTATCGCAACACCATCGTCAACAGAGCCCCGTATGTGAGTGAGTAGCGACGAAGTCTCAGGCGGGAGCCCCCTTCCTATGGGGCCCGTCGCTCACGTTTTTGATCCGAGCGGGTCATCGGGACTCCGTAACTGTCCTCATTGGTTGGGCCTCTGAGCCTGGATATGGAGGAAGTATCAGGCGGGAGCCTCGCCCCTGAGCGAATTGCAAAGAAGTCTCAGGCGGAGCCCCCCCGCCCCATAGGGGGGGGCCCCGCCGCTCATGTTTTTTGTGTGTGCGTGTGTGTAATCTGGCCGGGCCACCGGGACCTTGTAGCTGTCGTCGTTGTTGGGCTCCTGAGGCTTGGATATGGAGGAAGTATTAAGCGGGAGCCTCGTCTGTGAGTGAATTGCGAGGAGGTTTCAGGCGGGAACCCCCTCCCTATGGGGCCCGCCCGTCATTTTTTCCCGAGCGGGTCATCGGAACCGTGTAATTGTTATCACGCTTGGGCCCCACAGGCATGGATATGGAGGAAGAACAAGGCGGGAACATCGTCTGCGAGTGAATGTTAAGGAAGTCTCAGGCGGGAGGAAGCTCCCCATGGGGCCCGCCGATCACGTTTGTTTGTCTTTCCTTGTTTTTCTATGTATATATATGTATGTGTATGTATGTATGTGTATGTGTATGTA